TCTTTCCAACCTCAACAAGTTTGTGAAAACAGAGGGAAGGAGGCGACATCCCTCTGTTTTAGACCAAGCCTGCAACGCGTTGGGAAGCAGGAGGTCGGGGAGACGCGGGAGAGGCCGCGACTCCAAACACCGCCCGCACCTGACAGGCCTTGCTGCACGGAAGAGCGTGGGGGGGGCGCTGTGCGCCGAGTGGCAGGAGCTGCCACCAAAACAAAACTAGGATGCCAAGGTCGACCACCCACACAAGGACGACGGGACCTACCACCCCTAGTGCAGAGAGCGCCAGGACGGCGGCTGGGCCTCGCCCCAGATGTGGGGCATGCACACGGATGCCTGCCCCGTGGGACAGCCGCATCGGGCCGTGCGCCAATGGCAGGAAACAACGAAGCAGATCAAGATGAAACCGCGCCTTCCGCACGAACTCATCGGTGTTACAGTGCAACTGAAACGCAAGGCGGCGCCAGGACGACAAAGCAAGGAAACCCCCGGTGTACCGAACACCAGGACGGCCCCCAACTTTGCCCCAGGTGTGGGCCTGACTCAAACCGCCGAGCCAGTGCCCCCGTGACGGGCCCTCGACATACGGCCCAAAGACCAGCTGGGCAGAGCGATCAAGGACCCGCCGCCTTCCGCTCCAACGCAGGGGACAAAGAATTCAAACAGCAGAGTTTAATGCAAGGCAAGGCAGCGGTCGGGGAGTGGCTACACCCCCGCGCCAAACCCTTGGAATTCCGTAACACTCAAACAAAAAAATACAGGTCTTGTGCCAAAGACTGAGAGACTCGCGAGCGACGACTCGAAAAATACAGACACAGAATAGGAACTGAAAGACCACACAAGGGAGAAGAGGCTCGCCTACCCCTGGTGCAGAGACCGCCAGGACGGTGGCAAGCCTCACCCCACAAGTGGGCTGAGTAAAAAATGTCTGCCCCGAGGGCGCTCACTGGACGTCAGTCCGAGGAGCCAGGTCTCGCACTCTGGAGCGCATGACGGTGTCTACCATGGTGGAGGAGGTCGGTCGTTATGGAGGTCGGGGAGATGTTGTCAGCTTTCGTTCCTCTTCCCTAACGGACCATGCACAGCGGAGTGGTTGTTTCTCACAGCCCATGCTTACCTTCTGGTCGACGGTGTCTCAGAAGTTGTTCGAGCTGCGAGTGGCCATCAAGAAAGGCTACGTGTCCATGCAGGCATCTATCTCCCAGCAGCTGGGAGACATGGCGCACAATGTACAGTGTCATAGTGAATGCCTCCCAGCTGACCAACTGGTTCACCAGTGGCAGGCTCAGCTCTGCGATTTGAAACCCGTCGATCTCAACCGGTGTCAGGACCTGATCGATCGGTGCTCTGGCACCCTCTCTAAGGCTTGGCAGACCGCTCGCGCTGCGTCAGCCAAGGCGGTCAAGGATTGGCTTTTAAAGGCGTTGCCGAGGGGTGCTTCCAAAGCCTACAAGTGGCTTAAGCGGAATGAGCAGGAAGGATTGGAGTTCTTTCTGGCTCATGATGAGGTCCTCCAGCTTCCCCAGGAGATGATGTTGTTCGTGAAAAGCGTTGGGGTGGTGTTTAATGCCAGCCCTATCCAGATCACGCAGCTTTGTGAGGCGTTGGAAGATCTCCGAAAAGCTGCCCTCGATTTCCAGCCTGAACTCCCTGAGATTGAGACTAAAGACCTCCATGTCGCTGCTAGGGTTTTCTCGGAGAGCACTGCTGTGGGGGTTGATGGTTGGCGTCCTAGGGAGTTCCTGGATCTGGAGCGTGGTGCCGCTGAAGCTCTTGTCGGGCTCCTGAACGAGTGTGAGGCCAATATGATGTGGCCTGCTCAGAGCCTCATGGGGATCATATGCTTACTCCCGAAGAGTCGCACTGACGAGCGACCTGTTTGTCAATGCCCCACCCACTACCGTGTCTACTGTAAAATTCCAGGTGATGTCCTGGCTCGCCGGAGCCATAAGCACCTGGACTTTTGGGATGATGCCATCACATGCAGTTATGCCCTTCAAGCTGCGCTTCGCCGAATGCTTTCCCACGAGCTTGTGGCTTTCGAGGGCGTCTCCAGTGTGGCGGTCCACTACGATTTGAAGGAATTCTTTGATACTGTCGATCCTGCTAGGCTGGTTCGCCTGACTTGTGATCTCAACTTTCCTCCGCATTTGTTGTACATGGGCTTGTTGGTCCACACCGCTCCTAGGCTCCTCGAGAGCAATGGCTTCTCCTCCCAGGTGGTGTCTGCGGGTATTGGCGTCCTCCCTGGGTGTATGCAAAGTATGTGTTGGGTGAAATCTACTGTTATCTGATCTGCATAACAGGTATTTCTTTGCTGTGCCCAGGGTTGCTACTCGGTCATACGTTGATGACATATCCCAGACTTGCCAGGGAGATGAAGCACATGTTCGGCGCCAAATTGTTGCTGCCGCTGTACAGTTTGGACAGGCGACCCAGGCGGCCGAGCTGGTCCTCTCGACCAAGCCGGCAATTGTTCTCAACCCGCGCCCCCTTGGGCGCT